ATTCTGACGTAGTTGTGGGAACCGGAAGTATTCCCCTCTAAAATACTCGGTTAGATATTTGAATTAACGTGACTCAAACGACGGAGGCTCTGACCTATAGTTTTAAGAGAAAGCAGTGGTCGTGTTGCGAACTAGGAAGACACCGTATGAAGATAATTACAACCTCTCTATAAACCGCAACAGGCATAAAATGTGGAAGCATGATTACGTATTTTGCAGGCTGCCTGTTACCAAAGTTAGTTTAAATAATTAAAAATAGTATGATAAATGAGTATACAGGTTTATTCCTCAGAATAGATGACATTCTAGCTGACACCTCTCTGCTATCGTGTCTCACCTAGCAATGACTTCTGTGAGCTTCTGTAATGGTTGAGATACGCATTAGCAAAGTAATCGGTATTGCATATCCTTTCAATTTAACCGTTTTCTAGATTAAAGCTGACCATTTGTAACAGGAGAGAAGAAAATTGATGCCAAGTTCAAAAAATGCTACTTTTCCGAGACAGTTACGAAACGAATAGGTTAAATGGGTACCATTTAATGAGATCATCACTTATGGAGCCATTAACAGCAAGGTATTGCCCCAGTTCGACCGTCTTCGTTGATCCCCTTACCAAATATAGGAACAGCAACTTAGAACCCTTTGTGCACGCACGTTAGTTTCACCAGTAAGGTAGGTAGCGCGTAAAAAGACGTAACTAACAGTTACTGCTGGAGGCTACTGCATTTATTAAGTAACATACTGGCATGATAAATTTGGCCAAACATTAAGATAAGTTTCCGAGTAGAGGCTTATGATCAGTTTGAAGGTTGTTGAACTCTTTCAATGATAAGCGAATGTCAAGTAATAATATCCTTTATTTCTGAATATCTTACGCGGTAGGGTATGCTTTTTTGATATAAAGTTTCTAGGATGCTTGCAGTTGTATAGCAATGGCGGGGTTAAACTGCAGAAATAAGCTTGTGTGAAACGACTGCCGTTGCAAATATTTAGTGGCTGTAAGACAGCATGTGTCACTACGATGGTAAGGTATTTATAAATGCACCGTTTGCTGTTGTTTGAAGAATATAAATTTATGAGTATAAATACACTTTCGTATTCAAGTGTGTGGTGAACCTAGAAGTTCGAAAAAGAATAACAGCAGCGGTCGTGTGTCCGAATGCTGCAAAAGTCTCCATGCTTTAAATATTTTTGAGCCACGAAATTACTGTTTTTCAAGCGTCAGTTAACTAAAGACAACAGATAAGTGGACAAAAACGCCGAACACGTCAAAAAGATGCAACAGCAAGCTATCTACCATAGGCAGTTACAAGTGCGCAAAAGCAGCATATTATTTACAGACCCAAATCCATGTTCTCAGCCACAGTTTTTGTAACCGCACAATTGTAAAGCCAGCTAAATTAGAGATATGCAATAGTTTCTATATTCGCTTAGACAACGCAGAATATTACTGTGTAAACCAATGTGGATAGCAAGAAAATACTACATTTTAATTGTATCTCGCATTCATTTCCAAGGTGAAGCCTTAGATTTGGACTTGACTAACGGCAACGGAGTCGTTCAGCGTAAAACACAAATTTAAGTCATGTTAACAAATTATTTAAAGCTAAACACAGTAATCGGTAGCGAAAACGTTCATGATTGTAATAATACCTGAGTAAAATTGGTACCTGCTTTTACGGATTGGACATTTTGACGCCTGTGGCCTACCTTGTGAAAAAGTTTACGCTGAATATAAGAATAAATGATGACTATGGGTGGTTATAGAAGTAAGCTGCTCATGTTGTCTTCAATTCCAAAATGCCACGAATTAAGTTTCTTTTGGATTTCCACATTGCTTCTTGTTCCCTGACTAAAGCACTCGGCTTCGATATCACAAACCTTTGCCACGCATTTTTAATGCACTCCTGAAATACTGCATTTGGATAAATGTTTACCTACAAAAATGTCACAGTACCCACATGTCACAACTGCCACTGGTTATATAAGCAATGGACTCATAACTACTGCGGCTGCCTAGTTAACTTACGATAGGGACAAAAAAGCAAGCAAATAAATGCCAGAGATCACACAAACAGAATCGAGTGTTCCGCCGAACATTGTTTGCACCGGTGTTCTTATTTAGGGACTTGTGACTTGGCACCTTTAATCGGGTAAGTCTTTGTGCACATAACGGGTTGGTGTGATACATGCTTAATAATGAGAGCCTAACGGTACCAAAAACTGGCTTAGTACATTGCGCACGCATCGGTCCACAAGAACTATTTATGATAACACTATTTTCATACATTCAGACACACAGCTTGTTGAAATCACCTACGCTGGTTGAGAGCAACTGGTTCTAGAATACCAAAACAGATGAACATAGGGAAATGTATAGCTAGTTTCTGACTGATACTTAGAGCTAGCAGTGTTACTACTTTACAAATCTGGTACGGGAAACTGACAGGAATATTTTGTGGACGATCTTATTAGCAATGTTGTTAGTTATGAGGGTTGTTGAAAAGCGTGAGCAGCTAAAAACTCATAAAACTTTACGGTAACTTTAGTCAATGAAAGTTGCCTGTATTTTTAAATCAGAAATTTCTATCTCGGTGGCTGACGCTACTTTGATTGAACATGGCAAACAGCACCACACGTGCCTCTCTACAAGCTGCGTAACATTTAAAATAAGTATACGAAAACATTTTGCTTAGAGCTAGAGTGATTTGCTGAGTGACAAATAAACTAAGGCTGTTATGCAACGGCTTTGGGGTAAGTAGTTTGGGCTGTACTGTAAACTAGGCCAAAACACCTTTACCAGTAGGTGCAAACATTATTAATCAGTAAAGCTAGACCGAATACCAAACAATAATCTTGTAATTGCTGTGCCAATCGTTGTTCGTGAGGATCCGTGGCCCAGTGACCAAGTCGTAAACCGTCAACCACTATGTGCAGATTCCAATCTCAGCCTAGGCTATCACTGCTTGAAGTCCACATGAAATGAAAGCCTATCATAGAGCGCAGTGATGGGAGACAGCAATTCCAAAATTTTCCATTTCGGATGGTAAAAGCTTGCATAATGCTAATCTGTTGTATTAATTGGACTCACGTCTCTCAAACGATGCGCTTGGCAGATGCTCCAAAATCTAACAATGAAAAACTAGGGTTTACTTAATAACGAGGTTGAACTAAACTTGTTTCTTATTTTATTGATGGATGGTGTTGCGACATTTGTGCATATTCCAAATTGCATTTTTGCGCAAAAGTTTAAAGAAACAGATATCTAGATGTATAGTAGCATATTATTATTTTATTAGTGAAGTAACTTGCTGAAACAGCTTACGCTTATCGTTAACCTTTAATAGTTGTAGAATAGTTCAGGTGAGTATACCATCTTTTTAAAAACAGCGAAATTTGAGATAAGGCACATGCGTTTAAGCAGTCATGTACGTGAGTGCACAATTGGAACTCAAGATGTTGGCTACTCTACTAAAATTAGTTCATCCCTTACGCATATTAGAAGAAGGTTTTGCACTAAGACTTAGTCTCAGAAATATTCAAGGGAATGGTAAGTTTAATGATATATTCACCCATTCTAAACACGTACATTTCCAGAATTTGCTTTCACTGATTGTAGAAATGTAGCTTCTTGTATTGTTGGATTTGTTGTCAATAATATCGTTACACTCAATTGAAATCCTAGTTTTTAATCTTCAGTAACCTAACTGGATAGAAGGCAGTTTATCAGTCAGCTGTGAGTATAAGGAAAATACCATGGATCTAGAATAGAGGATTTTAAAATCTTTTTGCAGCAATAATGTGGATGTATGCGAAGTTAGATATTCACGGTGTTCTGTCTGTCTGAGCCCAAGCAAAAGATTGTATATGTTAAATATTGCTATTTTGTCACTGGAAGGAAATAATGACAACAAGACATAAGTGACATGGACCGAAACAATATGGTTAACAGGTCCTATAATTACTCAACTTAGGCTGACCTAATGAAATGACTTTTCAGCTAATATGACCCAATGATTATGCTTTCAAAACTAGAAGCCTTCGAAAAATTATTTAAAAGGTAAAAAGCTATCTGCTTGTGTAAAAATTGTAACCATTGCTCCGTATATCCATAACATCTGCAAAATAGAAATTTTAAGGACGAAAGTCCTATGCCTTAATCTAACGCAATTTTGCGAATCACTTTATAAATTTGAAAGTACAGGAATGTCAACGAAGGCACAACACCATGATTAAACGTTTTTCATAACGCAGCTTCAGTTTCATGAAAACGTTTGGACGCAGGGTGATTTCATCAACTCTTAGGCAGAGGTAAGCCTTTAATCTAAGTGTTGTGTTAAAATAGCAGTAAAATGTGCTAACGAGACAGAATAATAGGCAATGGGATAAAAGTCAGCTAAAGATACTATTTAACGAACAATTCGCAAGGAAGCTATTACAATTACTATTTCTTTGTGCAGTATATTTTTTTGAGGGCTTATATGGATGCCTCGGTGGTAACTTACACAACGACGTATGTCATTGCGAACTAATGGCGTTGGTTTTATTATACACTCTAGTCCTCTGTTCGCTGCACTTCATGAACAAAGATATGAGGATTTCATCTTTGGGGAAAACACAGATGAGGATACTTTTAGTTATAGAACCAGTATTTTGACTTTTTATTTTCTTTGGCCGTAAACCTACTTCTAAAAATGGTAGAAATTCTTCCGATTTTCCCAAGAAAGGCAACTGGATGGGTAGTTATCTAAATTTGGTATATGAAAATGAATTTTGGTGCAGTATCAGGAATTTATGGAGCTTGGACCATTGCCCTAGAAGATAAAGGGAGCATATGTTTATTTGCCTTTTCTCCATAATGGTAAATAACAACCCGAATTAAATGTCTAAGTTCCAACGATTAGTCAGTTGCAAAACAAGAGCATTAATTGGAAATGTTAAGCGTTTTCTCTCCGTCTGTTTATTTGATAATACAGTTATATTTTCCTTCAAAATGTAGATGTCACGAGAGTTCACGCTGCAACGAGCGCTTCGGGGACATCTGAGTCCTCTTGGAATTTCGGGTCACAACGTATGTCAAATGGGCATTTCAGTTTAAATCCTTCGCTATGCAATATAACTGCTCAAACGACGTAAGTTTCACAACTTCACCAAATATAGTCACATGTTTGCTGGTCGTAAAACCTGTTTATCATGCCTGCTAATATTCCTTAATGAAATTGAAGAGTTTGTGCATTTTTAGCCTCCTTTATCTAATACTACTAATCTAAAAAGCAGACACATGTCGGATAGCAAACCGCCATACATGTCCTTTTCCTGGAGGCTGAACGTAGTTGCGCTCAGTGTCCTCTGAGGTACCACTTGAATTGGGCATCAAGGAAAGTCGGTCATATAAGCGACTGTGTTGGAAGTACAACGTTATTTATTGCATTGAACCATACCGGGCGTAGGTGATCAGAATGAAAGTTCGACTAGCAGCTATCAACCTTTCAGTATGATTGCATGAATACTCTGTAATAATTATTTCCAACTAGATATTGCATTTCCGGATGACCAAAGCGCCCGCAGTGGAAAAGATACCATTGAATGCAGGACGATGAGCATCTTCCAGCATTTTCCTCGGTAGTTCAGAAGCCAGTCCACAGGCCAGTGATATCTCTATTGACAAAACAGTGATTTCTCAGGCACAAAATTATTTTAGCATAACCACAGTTTTATAGTGATAACTTCTAATTGTGAATGGCGGATTTAGAAACTAATTCCATAATAGCTTTTGTTTACCTCTGGATATACTTTCAAGTACATCTTGTGATTTTTATTGCGCTAGCTAATAATCTTCTATCAGAAGTTAATTAATTTGGTTTGGCGATCATTTTCTACTGTTTATAAAACTAAAATGGAAGCGAAATAGTTAAACTGAGTCAAAGTAACCTACTACTTTCCGGAGTAGACTCTGTTGATATTTACTTATTTTGTTTTGAAATTGGATGGTTTAAACATGGTTTCTTTGGGGTTTGTGGAACACTACAGCCTCGGGTTGTGTGTATCCAACCAATTTTCTTTACAAGCTGAAGTGGGTAGAAACTACGCCATGTTATTTCGTTTGACCCAAATAGTCCAAGGCAAGCTCTCAGAACAACTTGTGCGCAGCACACTGGCATGCCACCTGCCATTACTTTGGTCATAGGAACAACCGGGTCATTTGGTTACCTCAGGGCGACCAGTAATGTTGCGACCATAGTGAACCAGCTATCGAAGTGTGAATCATTGCTTAGTGGGTGGTGAATGGCCATAGGTCTACGGGTGGTGTGATTGCTAGTTTGTTTGAGTGATAAACTTGTGAACGATGCCCATTCCATACGCTGTGGCAATGAACACTCATTTGAACTGCCTTTCGAATGCGTCACCTGAGACCCATAAAATGCCTAGGGTCTACGCCGATGGGAAGAGATTAACGTGTTGGGGTATACACAATACGTCCTCTTACGAATAGGGAGTAGAGATTATTTGGCTAAGAAGTAAGCACCATAGAAATAACATGAAGCAAAGACCGACTGTTGAGGAATCCAACAACATGTGATATGACGTAATAATAAGCACAGATCTACGGAACAATGAAATAAGCTTTACCATTAAGATTTTGAGATGAGCGTAGAAGCAGTAGGCAGCACAGTGATATTATTCACCCAACATAGAATCATACATACGGAAGCTAGAAATATCCTAGTGTGAGCATATTACGGCGAGATTAAATAGTTAATAAGCCTACTAAAATCCACACATAATACCATTTTGCAAACAATCTAGGAATAGCATTTTTGAGCATTCAATTTCCTTGCATATCAAAATCTATGAATTTGAGCAATGAATGAGGAAACCTACTATGAATCTACCTGTTTCATGTGACTAGCGACTTCACAGTAACAAAGTGAACCGTTTGTTTCGTGTAAGCTCATGATTCACCACAGAATCAAAAGAGATTAATGAACAATAAAACATGACATGTCGGTCACATTTTACATCATTACACGTCCCAAACGACTAGGTACATGCTTGCCTTCTGCATTTGGAGACAGCAGAACTGAATAGTAAAAGCTGGAACTGGGGACTACTAAATATAATCCTTACTCCTATGCTAACGATATGTGGGTTGCGCATTTCATGAAAAATAGTGAATTGTTTGGGATTCATATAAGGCATCTGTTGGACGAATGGGCCGCCATACGCATTCCTATTTTGGACCGTGATTCACATTGAATGTGAATCGTTGGTAGTAAGCGTTTAATCCGCCTGCTGTGCGACCAGGGTTCGCAATCGCACTTTTCGTAGTCAGTAGTTAGGAAGACTTGGTTAATAAAATGTTCACTACTGACTATCGCCGAAGGGATGAAACTGATATCGGCGGCTATTTCAAGTGGACGATAGCCGAATGACTTTCTCTATTTGTGATGAATTCAGCCAAATTCGACGAATGTTTAACTCACAAAATTCCCTTCGTAATTCTTAATAAGAAAAGTATGAGGTGAAAATTAGATGACACTGCCAGCTGGTGCATTCTTATCACACAAATCTACAAAAATTACAGGTATACCTAAACAAATCATTAAAGTCGTTAGGTTACCAATTGCTTTGCCCTGCCACTTTGTTTGGGGTCACAGTCAGATATTCCTGCAATTACAACAGCAAGTTCTCTCGATTAAGAACTATGGGGCCGCTGATTGTCCACTGGAAGGAGAACGGCTCATTGCGTTTGGGTCAGTGACCAGTACTAACCAGATGCTTTGTGACCGCAGATGCAGCTGGTTCCTCGATTCCTTTGATTCCGCCTTCACAGACGCCATCTGGCTGCTTAACCACTTGGGGATGTGTTCAATGATTCTGGCAAGTAAATTTGTCTGTCACTACACCCACAGATGAATTGTATAGCGTGTGAGACATGCACTGCCCTGTCATCTGTGTCTTACTCAAGCAAACATGCATAGATCTCTTCGGCTTGAGGTGCCCTTTGCAGTGATGTCCCTAATCATTTCCTGGGGACCTACATAATACGGTTACCTTTAAAAAGTAGCTCGACAAAGACCGGCTTCTTCATGGCTGTTTGGGCTTGATCTCATTTCGTTGTTTCATTACGATTCGTTACAAACTGAAACGCGTAAGTTGAAGGGCAGGATCTCAGATTACAGATCTCTCTGTGATTATTGGGTATCTAGGATGTTGAGAATGCGCGCACTGTAAAGTATTGTTCAGATAAGGCAATGTATTTGTTGTATCTGAAAAGATCTTAGGATGCAGATACGGACCCGTTCATATCGCTTTTCTCTGGACAGACCTTTCGATAAAACATGTCGCGTACCTCGTAGCTAGTTTGTTTGGAGGCAAAAGACACTTACCTTGCTCATTCTTCCGCTTCAGTGTATGGTTTGGGTGCATTCTGTTGGGTGTCTCGGTTCCATATGCAACGTTCACATCCGAATGCAAGATTGGTATTAAATAATTAACAAAACACTTATATGAGGGTACTGGCCTCAAGACATCAACTGCCTTCCTTTTAATCATGTGCAAGTCAACAAATGACCTACTAACATCCTCATGTCCATACATTCTCTCTACCAACATGCTTTCCTTTGCAAGCAAAACCTGATAATTTGCATGAATAAAAAGAGCTTTGCTTCAACACTTCCTTGTAGAAGTACAAGTTTGCTAAACTACGGAAATGCATTTGCATTTGTGTTATGTACCTGTGAAGGCTGAGGTGATGCGGCACATGAAATGTCTCACAGTTGCAATAGCAAATGGGTTGCTTAGACAAATGAACCTACTACTATTCTAATTTATATCGGATGATTAACTAATTCCTTAATAAAGGTGCAGGCTGTTTCGTTACACTTCTCCCCTAGAAGTGGGAGCAAAATGGACAGAAAGAAAAAGGACTAATGAAGATTTAAATGTTTGATAATATATTCTTGTTATCCGTCAGTATGGTTCTGCATCACCTCATGCCGAAAATTAGAGTTCTCGTTCCACTAGATATGCGATTAGTGAGAACTAACTGCGTTTCGTTTGTGAAAAATTTCACCAAGATTCAACTAGAGCCAACGTCTGTCTTCAAGAGATTATACATCCATGTTGCAACTTCCACTGTGGCCTTTGTAAGTTCCTTCTTTATTTTATCAGCGTCGTTAAGCAGAGTGCAAAATGGTGCTGCTACGTGCAGTTCGGATCTTTGGAAGACAACCTAATCAGTGCCAAATTGATCAGCCTCATTAACGGTCGCATCAGACCATCGGAAACACCCAGCACCCCATCTGTATGCCGGGAACTACCAAACTTTTCCAAAGTAAGTTTATGCTTTGCTTGTTACCTGGGAAGACGTTATTTTGCTTTTAGCATCTTTACAGCATGCGAACGGTGCATACCTTCATAAGCGATCGATCATAATTTGGAACTATTCAACTAAAACAGCTGCATGGTCATCAAATATAAAACTTACGAAGTTAAGCCACCAAATATCGTCAGTATGGCATGTTAATATGCTCTACCAAGGCCTTGAAATTTACCACGTTTTGATTACGAAGTTGACGTTCTGTAACTTGCAGTTTATCTTTGGTATTGATTAAGGTTGAACTTTAACCAAGCCATCTTTTGATACACCCGTTGACCGGTTGTAAGCTATTTAATCTCTACAATGTCCAAAGTTTTAGATTCGGTGAAGAATGGAGTTAGGATATTTACATTTCACTGCACAGTGTTTCATTCCGCCGCATGTATCAATCCTGTTCCCATGGGGAGAAGGGCTCCTCCATATGGCATTTTGCTCCACTAACTGTAAGCTATAAAGTAAACAAAACAACGCCCACTTAGCTAAAGGGTATGCGACCCTCTGCACTGGGCACCAAAGTGCAAGACGCATCGACCAGGCTAATTATGCACTCTGAACACGGTGTTTTCAGCAGCCGACCACACCAGCTGCCTGCTTTTGGACTCCGCTGTCACTCTATGGCAGCCTCTCAACACTTCCTTCTGCATCTACAGCAACAGGTGCGGTGGCTCCATGCGATATATTTTAGTAAACTTGGTACTTGTTTGTAAACAGTGCCGAACGCTACCGCGAAATTTGCGTTCACAATGGTTTGTGAAATGCATTTCCCCGTTGAAAAGATTGCCAGTCTGAATCATGGGCAGTAAATCTCGCATTTCAATTTTGGGATCACGGGAAAATTTCGCACTACACAGGTCACGCATATGACAAAAATCAGCAGTGGCGCATATACGAACACTTGCTGCATATGATGGATGTTTACAAACTAACAGTGACGATTTGGGAAAAACTGCCGAAAATATTTTGTGTGCGATCAATCACGACCGCTTAAGATTGAATGAAAGTTATAGCATGATCAGTAGGTCAGTTCTGTTAAGCGGCTAAAACTATTATGAATCCATTAATTAGCGTTTCTGGTTCAAAAAAGAAAATAAACAGTAAATGACTGATCTGATGTTTTCAATTGGTGAAACTTATAATTTGTCGGTTTGAATTTCTTAGATGGCTGCTTGGGTATGAGTCATTTTCTTTATGTGGTAGGCAGTGTTTATAGGCCGAAACAGAGATGAGTAAGGTTTACGAATAAGGAATGATGTGTAAAGAAGAAACATTTTGGAAGAAAGTGAAAGCATCTTACTGATTGGTAATTTGGCTCTAGTCGTTGTTCTGTCGATAAATCTCAAGACACACTGAAGCTTTCCAATAATATGCGTTTGCCTCTTAGGAAAACCGGTGATCCCAATGCCATTATACAGCCAACTGAGTATGCACATACAGTACAGATTCAAATACAGGAGAACCGACTACATACTTGTGTAGCAAAGGAGATTATTTAACTAAGTTATTTTTCCCTCCGTTTTGACCTTACTAGAAAGCATCCTTTTCGTGGTGGTGGCGTTTTAACACATTAATCAATGATAGTGTAATTAAGCAACTGTAACCTTCACATACTCAAAAATTCTATAAGCTGTTATGTGACTAAATATAACCCAAAATTCTTAAATGCCTTTCAGTCGGTCACCGCTGGCGCATCTGTGTCTGAGTTGAAGATTTTGGAGGGCCAAGTTACTTCCGTGCTACTGCTGAAATTAGATTGTTCTATCCGTGTTGCTGTTGGCGACTAATCGAAGGGATACAACATTCCTGAGGACCTTGGCTTAGTAGATCAACTGACCTTTTCTACCAGAAAAGATACTCAGTTGCACACAGCATACAAAATCAAACAAGAGTCGATTTTCATACAAATTTGGACGCTTTTAAGCAGCTCAAACGATTGCGCTTTAAAATTGTGTCCAATCAAACACAGGAGATCAAATGTTTCCACACTGCCAAGATGCCGTTATAAAATATTCAAACGGCAAAATTCTCCGTTGAAATAGCACAAAGCACCAAACGATGCTTCTTTTAACTGCTTTTTCAGTCTGCACTGAAAAGAACCTGTCGCTTTACAGTGCCATCTTACAGATTGTATCAAAACAATGCTATGACATAAGTTGCCATGTTGAAATGATTGACCTAATAGACCATAGATTTGCATCACCACTGCTAATATGAATTCGGAGCATGGGAGAACCGCCTTACAAGTGCAAGTTGGCCACTTGTGCTAAGAGCCCACACTCAGGAGTTAAGTATGAGATAAATGCCTAAACCATTTGCACTTGGCCGCTGTTCTAAGCATTCATGTATTCCATGATCTATAGAGACTTTTGAGATGGCTGTGTGTTTAGAGCTCTTGTAGCCACAGCGGTGATGTAGACGTGAACAAACCATATTATAAGACAAGTTCTACCTCTTCAAATACACTGCCTTGTCCTGCTGCCTTAGCTCAAGCTCAACTGCATCCTTCGTTCAAAGCATAAGTTACAAAGAACTCCAAATATTAAAAGCAAATAAAGCTAATGAATTGTATGTGCACCCACCCTTAGCTTTGAAAGAGTCTACCTATTCTCTCATACGACATTTAACAAGTCTCTTTAACAAACGCCTCCTTATGTGTGTGATCCCGAACATTTAGGGATCGACCAGAATTACCTAAATACTCAACAATGGATTCCAAAAGTGTCGCCTGATTGAGTGTACATTTCCCCTGCTGAATGTTTTCAAAAACTAATTCCGCGGATTTTTACAGCCAATTTGAGGACGATATCTACAAGTTTGCATATCAACTAGCGCTCTACATTAGACGCAGTGACATATCTTGTTCAATCTATAGCGCCTGTATTAGGCCAAAGTTATAAATCTGTACGCGTTCTCTTTCTCGATAATACGAATGCCTTTGGAAACCTGGATAGGTCAAGGTTGCTGAGCCTGCAATTCGAAAAGGGCATTTACCCGGGTGTGTACACTCTTTTGCGTGACTAATACATGGATGGTACACACTTCGCCAAGTTAAACTGTTATAAATCCCCTATCTTCCGTGCCGACTGTGGTGTTCTACAAGCAACGATCACCCGTACTATTTCCCTTATATGTCATATTTCTCTCTATACAAGCCACGTTTACAAGGTGTAAATATGAGGATGATGTTGGGTTAGAGAGGTATCACTCCCACTATACATGATTCCTCATCATTTCATCGTAGAATGGAAGACCTGGTGGAGTATTCTTCATTCGCATCTTACTTATATTGACGCTTTATATGCAGTGATGTAATAGTTTATTCGCTTGGTGGCGATCAGCTGTAATACTTTTCCAATCTAAATGTGAACGAGGATCCCATAACCAAACCATCTACGGTTAAATACTTCGGCGACATTTTGTATCAGAACCTTTTCTTGATCCAAGCATATCTATGAGACATTTCATAAAGTCTAAAAATTTTCTTGGGGTCCCTTCAAAATTAAGTTTGTTTCATTACCCCGTACTTTAACTTTGTGATCACTTGCGTTATCCATTATTGGATGCACTGCTCCCCTGTCTTCTCTCCTGGGTTGCTGCAGAATAATTACATCTTACTTATATGATCAATAAAACCATTTCTATAAGCAGCGGCTTTTCTAGTGCTTCCGGGGTTAATTTGAGCATTTATAGATGTCTTGATGTCTGCAACAATTTTTATAAGGTACTACAATGATCTTTCTCTAGTGGCCAAGGTTCACTTCAATGCGAACCGAGGTCCACTTTGAGATTGCGCGTCACAATCCATCTACACAACGTGTACTTCAAACTGACCCTCCAAAGTTTATATCACTTTAATGCTTCCCCAGGGACTCAGTGGATACGACAGCCTGCTTAAAATGTCACTGGTAGATTGAAATCTTGGTGAGGCAATCTGTAGTTCTGGATGCCGTATTAATCTTCTGCAATTTACAGCAAAGTAGGACGCTGGAATACTAGGGCAATTTTTTGAATCAACCAACTAGTATTCGAGTATATCCCCTTATGAGTGAATACAATACAATACGACGAAGTTATGAAGTAAAACATGCTCAAACTTGCTCTCAAACTTACACAGTAACATTTTTCATGGTTGGGAAACTTTCCACATTATCTGAGAATAATCGTTTCTCTCGAGCACTAGCTTCGGGCAAATGGCAATAACTTCTATATCATGACGCCTAACAACACCAACTCAAGTATGGTCACAAACAGATCCCATCACAATCACTTTCATATGAAGCGGCGTTGTACTGAAGTGAAATGCTATCTGGTACATTTTCCATGAATTAATCCACGAGCTGGTCTGTGCAATAATCTGCATGAAAGGGTGACACCGTACGGTTGATAGAAAAGGACCAGCTGCTAACTAGGTATAGCTAAGCCAAGTAGATTCCCTGGCAGATTCACACACCCGCGCTCTTTTTGCGAGATTATAAACAGCACTAAACATTCATGCAGAAATAGGTCTCTCCAGCTAGTCAGTCAGTGGTCTTACCTGAAAACCTTTGAATACGTGGACATCCACCCGCTCCCTGAATCTTTTCGACCATAACAGAAATATTCCATTAGTGTCCGATGAAAATAAAGTGCGTCGCTCTCTCAGTCTGCAACTGGGTTACGAGTTTTTAGGAAATGCAGGCCCATCTTCTCAATTATCCCAAACACTCGGCGCAATGGGTCTTCCGGTCACAGGGAACGTAGTGTCACTGGAACTGGTTGCAAAGCGGGCAGTTTGACGATCGTCCACCCATGTAGCCTCTTGCATTGATGAGCCGTACACCTTTGTTACTAGCTCCACTGGCTCTCACTGTCCGGTTGTACACCTTGAACCTCCAGCTGCCTGCCGTAAGTCGTGACACTGAGTTCACTTAGTGAAGTGAATGTCTGCCTCCGGATTAGTCTCCTGAAGCAATTCAAGG